GGCTACCGGTAAGACACCATCTTCCAGTATCAATCCATCTTGTTGAGGGGTCCCCTTTTTTGCTGACCCTCCACTTCTGGCAACATCACCAAGGTAGGTGAGATGATGTTTGGCCATTTTTGCTACCAAGGAGCATTCCGACTGCACTTTTCCAGGAGAGATTTGTTGGTTCTTCTGGCAGTCTGTGGTACTTTCAGTATTCTTCAGCAACACCACAACTCAAAAGCATCAACTTTTCTTTGGTCTTCCTTATTCATTGTCCAGCTTTCACATGCATATGAAGTGACTGAAAATACCAGGGCTTGGGTTAGGCACACCTTTGCCTGAGGCATTTGACTGCAAACCAGAAGGTTGGTGGTGCAAACCCCCAGCCACTCCTCAGAAGGAAGACTGGGCAATCTACTTCTGTAGAGATGTTGTTGTTGTTGTTGTTATGTGCCGTCGAGTCGGCCCGACTCATAGCGACCCCTCCTTGGGTTTCCAAGGTAGTACCACTACGGAAGTACTTCCTTCCAAGGAGTGGCTGGTGGGTTTGAACCGCCAGCCTTCTGGTTAGCAGTCAAGTGCTTTAGCCACTATGCTACCAGAGCTCCTAGATACTGCCTCAGAAATCTAAGGAGTGGTTGCTATGAGTCAGAACCTACTCGGTACCAGTGCCTTTGGTTTTAGTCTTCAAAGTAACATTATTGTTCTTCAACACATTAAAGAGGTCTATTGCAGCAGCTCTGCCCAGTGCAATACAAAGTCTGATTTCTTGACAGCTGCTCCCATCAGTGTTGATTGTGGATCCAAGTAAAATGAAATATTTTACAACCTCAATCTTTTCTCCATTTATTGTGATGCTGCTTATTGGTCCACTTGTGAGCATTTTTGTTTTCTTTATGTTGAAGTATAATCCATACTGAAAATTGTAGTCTTTAATCTTCATCAATAAGTGTTTCAAGTTATCTTCACTTTCAACAAGCAATGTTGTGTCATCTGCATATCCTGAGATTTTTCTCCATATACTCCAGCTTCTTGAATTATTTGTTCAACATACAGATTGAGAAGGATAGAACCTTGATGTATATCATTTCAGATTTTAAATCATGCTATTTTCCCTTGTCCCATTTGAGCAACAGCCTCCTGGTCTATGTAAAGGTTCCTCATGAGCACAATTAAGTGCTCTGGAATTCACATTCTTCACAAAGTTATCTGTACTTTGTTATGATACACACAGTTGAATGTTTTTGTGTCGTCAATAAAACACAAGTAAACATCTTTCTGGTATTCTTTGCTTTCAGTCAAAATCAATCTGACATCAGCAATGATATCCCTTGTTTCATGTTCTCTTCTGAATCCAGCTTGCATTTCTGGAAGTTCCCTGTCAATATACTGCTGCAACTGTATTTGAATCATCTTCAGCAAAATTTTACTGTGTGTGATATTAATGATATTGTTTGATAATTTCCACATTCTGTTGGATCACTTTTCTTTGATGGGCACAAATATCAATGTCTTCCAGTCAGTTGGCCAGATAGCTGTCTTCCAAATTACTTGGCATAGACAAATAAGTACCTCCAGAGCAACATCCATTTGTTAAAACATCTCAGTGGGTATTCTATCAATTTCTGGAGCCTTGTTTTTAACCAATGCCTTCTATGCAGCTTTGACTTCTTCCTTCAATACCATTGGTTCTTGATCATATGCCACCTCCTGAAATAGTTGAACATCCACTAATTCTTTTTGTACAGTGACTCTGTGTATTCCTTCCATCTTCTTTTGATGCTTCCTGCATCATTCACTATTTTGCCCATAGAATCCTTCAATATTGCAACTTGAGGCTTCAAGTTTTTCTTCAGTTATGCCTGCTTGAGACATGTTGAGAATGTTCTTCCCTTTTTGTATTCTAACTCCAGGTCTTTGCACATTTCATTATAATAATTGACTTTGTCTTCCCAAACTGCTTTTTGAAATCTTCTGTCCAACTCTTTTATCTTATCATTTCTTCCATTTCCTTTGGCTTCTCTCTTCTCAAGAGTAAGTTTCAGAGTCTCTTCTGACATCCATTTTGGTCTTTTCTTCCTTTCCTGTCCTTTCTTCATGTATGATGCTCTTGGTATCATCCCACAATTCCTCTGGTTTCCAATCATTGGTTTGCAAAGTGCCAAATCTATTCTTCAGATGGTCTCTAAATTTAGGTAGGATATAATCAAGTTCTAATGTTGGCTATCATGGACTTCTTCTAATTGTCTTCAACTTCAGCTTGAATTTCCATACAAGCAATTGATGGTGTGTTCCACAGTCAGCTCCTACCCTTGTTTTGGCTGAAGATATTGAGGTTTTCCTTTGCCTCTTTCTAAAGATGTACTTAATTTAATTTCTACATATTCTATCTAGCAAGGTCTACATGTATAGCCACCATTTATGTTGTTTATAAAAGGTATTTGCAATGAAAAAGTCATTGGTCTTGCAAAATTCTATCATGTGATCTCCAGCATCATTTCTATCACCAAGGCCATATTTTCCAACTATGAATGATTCTTGTTTGCTTCCACCTTTTGCCTTCCAACCACAAATAATCATCAATACATCTTGATTGCATGTTTGGTCAATTTCAGACTGCAGAAATTAATAAAAATCTTCAATTTTTTCATCTTTGGCTTCAGTGGTTGGTGCATCAATTTGAATAATAGTTGTATTAACTGGTTTCTGACTCATAGTGACCCCTCCTTGGGTTTCTGAGGCAGTATCTCTATGGAAGTAGATCACCCAATCTTCCTTCCTAAGGAATGACTGGTGGGTTTGAACTGCCAGCCTTCTGGTTAGCCATCAAATGCTGTAGGCACTATGCCTCCAGAGCTCCTTGTTAGGAGTATGGATAGTATCCTATCACTCACAATGTTGTACTTCAGGACAGATCTAGAAACATTTTTTGTGACAATGAATGCCACATCATTTCCTTTTAATTTGTTATTCCTGGCATAGCACATGATATGATTAATTCAAAATGGCCAGTACCAGCCCATTTCAACTCACTAATGCCTAGGATATAGATATTTATTTTCCTAGATTCATATTTCTTACATTCCATGTTCTGATTATTAATGGATATTTTCAGCTGTTTCTTATCATTTTGGCTGTAAAGACTTACACCCTTAGATACCCTATGGGGCAGTTCTACACTGTCATGTAGTGTCACTATGAGTCAAAATTGAATCAATGGCAGTAGGGTCTTTTCTTCTTTGTAAGAAAAATCTGGTTTCTGGATGAGGAACCAAGGCATGGAGATGTTAAGTAAGATGCATAGCTGGTAAGCATTAGAGCTAGACTTAGAGTCAGGATCCCCACCAACTCTCTGAATTTTTCACAGTGTCACCTCCAGGGCACTACTGGCCCTTTCACCTTACAGAATTTGGCTGCCTATGACTTCATCTTCTGAAAGACTCCCTGAGATGCAGATTACTAAAGAGCTCTGGTAACATAGTGGCTAAGGCACTTGGCTGCTAACCAGAAGGCTGGTGGTTCAAACCCACCAGCCACTCCTCGGAAGGAAGATGGGGCAACCTACTTCTGTAGTGATACTGCCTTGGAAACCCAAAGAGGGGTCACTATGAGTCAGGTCCGACTCAACAGCACATAACAACAACAAAGGGCTGATAATTATTGTTGAGATTTTCATAATGTGATGAATATTTCATATATATATTTTATTTATATGAAGCTTATCACTAGTTGGTAATAAACTAATAACTGATTTTTTTTTTTTTTGTATTTAACACTAAACATTCACTTTTTATTCTCAGACTGAAATCATACTTTCCATCAAAATCTTTTTATTTTAAAAATGGAAGTTCAAGTTTTATAAATTTAGAAAAAAATTGATATTAAGAATGGCAATGCCTTACACTTATATAGGGATTTATTGCTCATAAAGTGCTTCCACATTTATTATCTCATTTGACCATCACTACAGTCCTCTGAGAGAAAGAGTGTTGGTCCATTGCTTCATTTTACAGATGTGAAAAAAGACACATAAAAAGATCTAAATGGCTCATTAAGTTCCCTTTAAAAAAAAAATTATTATTATTTGCATGAAAGTTTACAGAGTAAATTCATTTTCCATACAATGGTTCATACACATTTTGTTTCATGATATTGATTGCAATCCCCACAATGCAACAGCCCTCCTCCCACTTCCTCACTATGGCTACCTTTTCCTTGTGTCCCCTTTTAAGTTCCCTTTATAAAGTCATAGCTAGTAAGGTAGAGGGACTATAATTAGAGGTTGTTTTGTTTTTTTTTTAATTTTTAACTACAAATCGAAGATTATTGATGAGCTCTCATTAGTAAGATGAGGCTTGTGAGTCTTCCTGATTTTATCTAAGAAAGTATAGGTAGTCCCTGGTTACCAATATCCAACTTATGTAAAACCCATAGTTAGGAATCAACCCCTAAAAAGCCTATTATATTAAAAATTTGAGTTACATACAATGCTTTGTAATAATAAACAATGACTACTTTTCTCATCAAATAAGATTATTACTGTATTATTATGGTAAAGATGTTTTAGTGTATATGGAAATGTTTCTTTTTTTTATGAATAGAAAAGTATACCACATATTACACAATAAGACAAACATTTGACTGATTTAAGGTACCATACCTAATTAAATGTTCCAACTTACGTACCGGACTTAAAGATACACTTAGGAATGGAACCTCATTCCTAATCCAGGAACTCCTGTATCCTGTAGCATCCCATGATTGTGTCAATGCCACACGGTTCAATATGATATCCTGAGGAAGAATGCCAAATGCAGTTCCCAACATCTCAAAAATTTCCTACGGTTCAGCAATCTCCTCATATATAGTGAAATTTGATTTTGTTTTTTGGAATGAATTTGACATCTGGTTTGTGCTGCACTTGTTTTGCCAAAACAACATGGACGAATAAAAGAGGGAGGGAGAGAAGGAAGGCAGACAAGAAAGAAAGAGAGCATTCCAAGCTGTCAAATTACCTGGCTATTAAAGACTGTTATCAGTCCTTTTTGAGATGCTGCTATTAGTAAATCCAGTTGAGGAATCTTGACAATGGACTTAATCACATCCCGTCTTCTACTACCTGTCAATGGCATAATACTCATTTCAACTTCCAGCAGTAAATATCCTAAAGCTCATTTGTTAGATTTGTTTATTAAAAAAAGGAAAAGAAAAATATAACAGCCAATTTTTTTTGCAAGAAAGCCCTGAGTTACTTAAAAATTAAAGTGGAATGCAACCATAAAAATCAGCTACAATTGCATTTTAATTATCTCCAGAGATATTAATCTAAAAATGTAGAGAATTCACATAAAAATATGTAAGACACACACAGGTATATGAACACAGATGCATATTTCACAGAGCATGAATTTTTTTTAAACACCTTTTGAAATCACTTCTATTTTGAGATTATCATATTTCCTAGGATTTTTTTTTGAAATGTCACCATCATGGTTTACAAAGAATCCAGTATAAAATAAACTACTCATATTTTAATGTTTGTTATTACTGATAATTCAATATTGTATATGCAAAAGTGTTTATCTTTGTTGTTTGTACCTCTTATGCACGTATCTGTTTCTTCCTTTTCCTTAGTAGTATTATGTTGATCACTTGCCTTTGGTATATTACCTTCCCCTTCACCCAAATCAATACTTGTCTCCTACTTAGCTAGCAATTTTCCCTCCAATCCCCTCCCATCCCTGGTAACCAGCAAAGAAAATTTCCTTCCATATATAAACCTTTTCTTGACGTTTTACAATAGTGGACTAATAGTCCCTTGTCAGATAGTCATTGCTGAATATTTATTCCCAATCTGTGTGTTCTCTTTTTATTCTTGTGCAGAAGTCTTTTGATACATATAAGAAATTAGTTTTTAGAAGATCCCAAACATCTAGTTTATCTTCAGCTGTTTGTGCATATTGGCTTATACTTGATAGTCTATTTATGCCATACATTAAGGCCCTTAAGTTTGACCCTAATTTTTTCTTTGATGAATTTTTTAGTTTTAGGTTTCACATTTAAGTCTTTGATCCATCTGGAGTTAGTTTTTGTGTATGGTATGAGGTATGGATCTTGTTTCATTTTTCTTCAAATGGATATTCAGTTTTGCCAGAACCACTTGTTAAAGAAACTATCTCTTCCCTACTCAATGGATTTTGGCCCTTTGTCAAAGATCAGCTAACAATAGGTGGATGGATATATTTCTGAGTTCTCAATTATGTTCCACTAGTCTATGTGTCTGTTGTTGTACCAATACCAGGCTGTTTTGATTATTGTGGCTGAATAATAGGTTTTCATCTACGAGTGTGAGACCTTCTACTTTGTTCTTCTTAAGTAGTGCTTTGCTTATCTGAGGTCTCTTTCTTTTCCGTATAAAATTAGGAGCTCTGGTGATGTAGCGCCTAAGGCATTTGACTGATAACCCAAAGGCTGGTGATTCAAACCCACCAGCTACTCCTCAGAAGGAAGATTTGGCAATCTACTTCCATAGTGATACCACCTCGGAAAACCAAGGAGTTGCTGAGTCAGAAACAAATCGACGGCAGTGATTAGGGACTGGTTTTTCCATGTCCTTCAAGAATATTGATGGAATCTGGATTGGGATTGCATTGAATGTATAGATTGCTTTGGGTAGTATTGACATTTTCACAGTGTTCAATCTCTGTACCCATGAGCATGGTATATTCTTCCATTTAGGTAGATTTCTTATAATTTCTTGAAGTAGTTTTGTAGTTTTCTTTGTATAGGTGTTTTGTGTTCCTATTAAGATTTATTCTCAAGTATTTTATCTTTTTTTGGCAGCTATTGTAAATGTTATTGATTTCTTTATTTCCTTTTCAGAGATCTCTTTGCTGGTGTAGAGGAATACAACCGATTTTTGTATATTGATCTTACTACTATGCTAAATCTTTCAATAAGTACCAGTAATTTTCTTGCTGAATCTCCTGGGTTTTCTATGTATAGGACTATATCATCTTCAGATAGAGACAGTTTTACTTCTTCCTTACCAATCTGAATGCCTGTGATTTCCCTTTTTTGCTTTATTGCCTGGCTAAGACCTCTAATGAATGTTGGGCAATCTACTTCTGAGGCAGAAACCCAAGGAGGGGTCACTAAGAGTCAGGTCCAATTCGACGGCACATAACAACAACAAGAGACTTCTAATACAATGTTGAATAGAAATGGTAATAGAGGCATCCTTGTCTGTTTCCTGTTCACAAGGGAAATGGTTTCAGTCTCTCTCCATTGAGAATAATGTTGGCTGTTGGTTTTGCATATATGCCCTTTATTATGTTGAGGAATGTCACTTCTACTCCTATTCTTCTGAGAGGGTTTACCAGGAATGGGTGTTGAATTTTATCAACTGCCTTTTCTGCATCAATTAATATGATCTTGTGATTGTTTTCCTTATTTTTCTTATGTGATGGATGATATTGATTATTTTTCTAATGTTGAACCATACTTGCATACCTGGTATGAACCTCACTTGGTCATGATGTATTATTTGTTTGATATATTGTTGGAGTCTATTGGATAGAATTTTGCTGAAGATTTCTGTTTATATTCATGAGAGATATTGGTCTGTAGTTTTCCTTTTTAGCAGTGTCTTTGCCTGGTTTTTGTATCAGGGTTATGCTTACTTCATAAAATGAATTTAGAGGATTCCATCTTTTTCTGTGTTTTGTAATAGTTTGAGTAGGATTAGTGTCAGCTCTTTGAATGTTTGGTAGAATTCTCCAGTGAAACTGTCTGGGCCAGGACTTTTTTTGTTGGTAATTTTTTAATGACCTGTTCAATTTCTTCTTTTGTTACAGGTCTGTTCAAATTCTATACCTCAGTAGGCATTAGTTTAGGTAAGTAGTGTGTTTCTAGAAATCTGTCCCTTTCTCCTAGATTTTCAAATTTGTTGGAGTACAGTTCTTTATAATATCCTGATATTATCCTTTGTTTATTTCAGTTAGTTCTGTTATGACATCACCCAATTCATATCTTGTTCTTGTTATTTACATCTTCATCTTCCTTTCCTTTGAAGTGGTTTGTCAATTTTATTAATCTTTTCAAAGAACCAAGTTCTAGTCTTGTTGATTTTATCTATTGTCTTTCTATTTTCTCTTTCATTTATGTCTGCTCCAATCTTTATTTATTTTCTTCTGGAGACTGTGGGCCTTTTTTTTTTTTTTTTTTGCTGCTCTTTTACTAATTTTTGGAGATGTTGGGTTAAGGTGCTGATTTTGGCTCTTTCTTATTTTCTGATGTGTGCATTTGTTATAAATTCCCCTCAGATCATTGCTTTTCCTGTGTTCCCCAAATTTTGGTACGTTGTGTTTCATTTTTGCTTGATTCAAGAAAATTTTTAATTTCCTTTTTTGTTTCTTCTATTACCTTAAGAGTGCTGGTAGTATAGTGCCTGCGGCACTTGACTGCTAACTCCTCGGAAGGAAGGTTGAGTAATCTACTTCCATAGTGCTACTGCCTCGGAAACCCAAGGAGGGGTTCATATGAGTCGAGTCCAACTCGATGGCACATAACAACAACAACATTACCCAGTGGTTTTTAAGGAGGGTGCTATTCAGTTTCCACATGTTTGTTCTTTTTCCATTAATCTTCCAATTGTTGATTTCTAATTTTATAATATTGTGATCTGAGAAGATACTTTGCAGTATTTCAATGCTTTTAAATTTATTGAGGCTAGCTTTGTGCCCTAACATGTAGTCTGAAGAATGTTCCATGTGTGCTGGAAAAGAAGGTATATTTTGCTATTTGGGGGTGAAGTACTCTGTAGATGTCTATAAGGTCAAGTTGGTTGCCTGTATTGTTAATTCTTCTGTGTCTCTGTTGAATTTCATTCCAATTCTAACTTTCATTGAAAGTAATGTATTAAGCTCTCCTATGATTACTTTTAGGAGCTCTCATGGTGTAGTGCCTAAGGCATTTGAATGCTAACCAGAAGGCTGGAGGTTCAAACCCACTACCCACTCCTCAGAAGGAAGATTAGGCAATCAATTTCAGTAGTAATACCGCCTTGGAAACCCAAGGAGGGGTCGCTATGAGTCAGATCTGACTCAATGGCAGTGATGTTTTTTTTTTTTTTTTTTTTTAATTACTACTTTGGAGGCATCTATTTGTCTTTTCAATTCTGTTAAAGTCTGATATGGCAATTTGGGGTGTTTTCATTGGGTACGTATTTATTATGGTTATGTCCTCTTTTTCAAATGAACTTTTAATAATTATATAATGTCCTTCCTTGTCTCTTATGGGGGTTTTTGTTTTAAAGTCAATTTTATCAGATATTAATAGTGCCACTCCTGTTCTTTTTTCATTGCCATTTGCTTGAAATACCTTCCTCCAACCTTTAATTTTTAGTCTATTTTTGGCTTTGTGTCTAAGGGAAGTATCTTGTAGACAACATATTGATGTGTCCTGTTTTCTTATCCAGTCTGCAAATCTCTGTCTCTTGAGTGATCCATGTAATCCCCTTACAATCAATGTAATCATTGACAAGTATGAATTTGTTGCTGTCATTTTGTTATGTGTTATTTTCTGGTGTTGGCTGATTTCTTTGTTCCATATAATTTCCTGTGCTGAGATCATTTGGTTTGTGAATTATGTTATCATTTCCTCCATTGCTATTGTTTTAGTACTTGCTAAATATTTGTGTGTCTCCTCTTTTTTATTTTGATGAGAAAGTTTAGAATTTTTCTTTCAGGTTACTCTATGATTTATAATTTCCTTCCCAAGTTTAGAACTGTCTGTTTTATCTTGCAATTGTCTTGAATTCCTTACCATTTGGAAGTTCTATACCTATGCCTATACCTTCTCTTGTTTTGTAGTTGTCCTTATTTGCCAATTGATGCCTCTGGTTCCCTATTTACAGTCTTGTAAGTTTATTTTACTTCAGATACTTCTATTACTGGGTTGGTTTCTGGGTTATGTCATCATGTGTATTAATCAGTTCCTGTCTGCTGTTGTTGGTTCTTGTCCAAAGGACTCCCTTTAGCAACTCTTGTAAGCTTAGTCTAGTTTAAACAAATTCCCTTAATTTCTGTTTATCTGGAAGTGTACTAATTTTACTGTTACATTTGAGGAACAATTTTGCTGGGCATATAATTCTTGATTGGCTTTTTTTTTTCCTTTAGGATTTTATGTATATATTATCCCATTGCCTTCTTGCCTGCATGGTTTCTTCCAAGAAATTTGAGCTTAGTCTTATTGGTTGCCCTTTGTAGATAACTTTTCATTTTTTTTCACGCTGCTTTCAGGATTCTTTCTTTGTCTTTTGTTTTGGTGAGTTTGATTATAATACATCTCAGTGATATTCTTTTGGGGTCTATCCTGTTTAAGGTTCACTGAATTTCTTGAATGGATATCATCTTGTCTTTCATATTAGGGAAATTTTCTTCCAACAAATCTCTGACAATTTTCTCTGTGGTTTCATTTGTCTCTTCCTGTTCTGGAATTCCGATTACATGTAAATTATTCCTCTTGATAGTATTCCACATGTTTTGGTTACCTCTAGTGCTACTCTAACAGAAGATACCATAAATGGGAAGGCTTAAACAAAAAGGAATTTATTATCTTACAGTTTTGGAGGTTAGAAGTCCAAGTTCAAAGTGCCAGCTCTAAGGGCTGGGTGAAAGCCCTTCAACCTTCGGCTTTCAGCTCTGCCTCTTGCTCCTGGCCCACTGGAACTAAAGATGCCTCTTCACTCACGTAGCTGCTGGCTTCTGAGGCTAACAAGCCCAAGGTTGACAAATAAAATGGCACAGTCCCAATATTGCCACACAATACTGCAGACCACTAGTTCAAGTCCAGAGAGAGTCCCAAGATCAGTAGGAAACATGGCAGGCTACCTAAATGAAGACTTAGCTACATGCAGCATCCAAGCATGCCAAGAAACTAAATAGACCTTTCTCAAAACTTCTTCTTATGTACTAGAAGCAGACCACATCCCTAAGGCAGGTACACAGTTGCTCCTATAAATTTCACCATGGAGTTGATTAGCAATGTCATCACAAGGAATAACTACAACCAGCCACTCAATACTAGGTCCAGCCAAATTGACACATAAGCTTAACTAACACAGCACATGAATTTTAGGATTTCTTCATTTTATTTATTATTTTAATCTTATTTCTGATTGATCCCTTAATGAAGTAACTTTCAGGTATTTCTCTTCAATCTCATTAATTCTGTCATCCTTTGATTCAATTCTACTTTTTTGCCCATTCATTGTGTTATCTACGTCTAAAACCTTAGCATTAAACTTTTGGATTTCTATTGGTTTTGTATTGTTTCTAATTTGTGGTTTATTTTGTCAATTTGTTCTTGTATTGTTTCCCTAAATTGTTCTAGAGTTTTGTTTGTGTTTTCCTTATCAGTGTTTTCCTTGATCTGTCTCTCAATCCATTGAAGGTACCTAAATATAATTCTGTTGAACGCCTTATTAGGCAGTTCGAATGCTACTTCTTCCTCAGAGAGGTTTTCTGAGTCTGTATCTTGGTTCCTTGTTTGTACTACCTTACCTTGCTTCTTTGTGTGGTCTGGATGGTCTGTTGTCTCCAAGATATTGTGACAATGTATTTATATTTAATTGTTGATTTTATATTAGTGTCATTCACCCAGGGTTTTTTTGTTTTGTTTTGTTTTTTGATATATCTATGTGAGCCGAGTACTGTGCTCCTCTATTTGTTTATTGGTAGCATTTAGGCACTCACCACCTGTCTCCTGATGGGTGTGATAGAGAATAAGAGTATGTATACAGATCTGTTAGCTGTTCAGAGCTGTACAGAGCAGTTGAGGCCATCATCTATCACTGGTCAGTTGGTAAAGAAGCAAGTGATGCCCCTCATTCAGTGGGTGGGGCTGCAGGAGATGTAGGTATCATTGGATCATGTGGACATGGTTACTGTTTTATATATATATAACAATATTGGGGGGCAGGTAATAAGACAAAAAAAGCAAGAGCAAAAGAATAATAAAGAAAAATGAAAACTGTAAAAGAAAAACAAGGTATGGGGAGGACCAAAATAAAGAAAACAGAAAGGAAGAAGGAAAAAGGAAGAGAAAATAAAAAACAAAAAACAAGAACCAAGAAAGAGAAAGAGAGAAAAAAAAGTTAAAAGGAAGAAAAAAAGAATAATTTTAGAACAAACAAAACAAAACTGGGTGGTGGGGGGACAGGGCACACCGACCTTGTCCAGGCATAAAGACCAGGATGGACTTCCTGCCAGTCCAGAAGGTTGGTGGAGGTGGGGAATGAGCATGCTTTCATTCACCAAGCACGTTGGGGTATAAGAGTAACAAGAGGAATATCATACCTTTCCGGTGCTCAGCCTCCAGGGCAGTTGCCTGTGCTGTCCTCAGTAAGCAGAGCCTATTTTTAGGTAGCTTCTAGGATCTGAACACCACTTACAAATATTCAAAATGGCCAAGCTACTTACAAATATTCAAAACAGCTACATCTTCAGGACAGTTGAAAGTCTACAGCTCTGTTTTCCTCCTTATTCACTGTTTTCCTTCCTAGTCTTCAGCCACCAGTGCAGTTGCCCATGAAGTCCTTGGTGAGCAGAGCTGATTCTTAGGTTGCTGCCCAGATTGGAATGCCACTTACTTGTAAATATTCAAATTGATCATGCCTTCAGAACATCCAACAGTCTGCTTCTCCATTTGTCTCCTTCTTCACTAATTTCATTCATGTTTTTCTACTAGTTGATATTTAATCCACTTCTTCTTTCTTCCCTTCAAAGCTCAGGGTTCCAGGATTATCTTCTGTATCTGTTTCAACTGTTTTTGTTGTTGTTGTTGTTGTTTCTTCATTGCACAGGGTCTTCATAGCTTGTCTGCCTATTCTGGCATCTTGCCAGAAGTCTCTTCAATGTTTTAAATTTTTCTAATGTGGTGTTGGATTCTATTGGCTGGGATTTTGATGTTTATATTCATAAAGGTTGTTGTTGTTGTTGTTATGTGTCATTGGATCCGACTCACAGCGACCCCTCCTTGGGTTTCTGAGGCGGTATCTCTACAAAAGTAGATTGCCCAACCTTCCTTCCAAGGAGTGGCTGGTGGGTTTGAACTGCCAGCCTTCTGGTTAGCAGTCAAGTGCCTTAGGCACTACCCTACCAGAGCTCCTCCATGAAGGTTATTGTTCTATAATTTACCTCTGTATTAGTATTTTTGCCTGGCATTAGTATCAGAGTTATGCTTGCTTCATAGAATGAATTTGGGAGTATTCCATTCTTTTCTATGTTCTGGAACAGTTGTATAGAGTTTGTGTCAGCTCTTCTTTTTTTTGTATTGGGAGATTTTTTATGATTTTTTTTTTTTTTTTTTTAGTGTTTTCTTTTGTAATGGATCTGTTCATATATTGTACCTCAGTCTTTGTTACTTTAGGTAGGTTGTCCATTTCTAAGGTTTACAAATTTGTTGGAGTACAGTTTCTCATTGTATTATCTTATTATCCATTTCATTTCATTTGTGACATTGTTCATTGCATTTCTTGTTCATGTTATTTGCATCTTCTCAGTCTTTTCCTTTGTTAAATTTGCCAGTGGTTTGTTTAAAAATATTTTAAAAGTAATAAGATTCCATTTGATACTGTGGCATGTGTTGCTGAGATGCCATTACAGAGAGCCTTAACTTGAGTTCAACTTCTTCAGGAAGACATGAAAATTTTTTCATCTCATAGTTTCTATTTAGTTTCTTTCAGTGCAATGAAAACATTTCAATCTCAACTGCAAGTACTGTTTCCTCTGACACTGTATATGAAGCTGCCCCAGTTATAAAGTATAGAGTAAATAAATAAACTGAATCATGATTCTAGCCATTAATTTCAGGAAATATTAAAACACATACTAATTTTTAAGGTAAATTTAAAATATCACCTGAAATTACAACTCGTTGTTTTCTAGAAACAAGGAAAACCAAATTTTCTTCATCCATCTGGGAAGCAAGCTTATCTTCATCTGAGCAGGAGTATCCAAAGATCTAAAATCCAAAAAATATATACAAATACACACAGTATCTTAGAATTGTCTGAAAAGTAGCATAAGATATTGGCCGAATTTGAAATCTAATTTGGATTAGTAGCACTGTGTTAAAAATGTCAGGATTTCTTTACACCAAAAAGAGTATATTCAATAAACTGTATGCTGAGGAGGTTTTATTATTGAGCCAAAATCAAAACATATCAAAACCTGTTGCCATCTAGTTTATTACAACTCATGGCAGCCCCATGTATGTAGAGTGAAACAGCTCCATAGGTTTTTCTAGCTTTTCAGAAGCAGGTCACTAGGCTTGCTTTCTTAGTTAGCTCTGGGTTAATCATCCAGTGCTTAATCTTTTGGTTAGAAGCTGAGAACTCAACTGTTTGTGCCACCCAGAGACTCCTTCATTACTGAGGAAGCACTAATTTTTCCTCCCAATATATGAACCCAGGTGCCAGGCTGGTGTCACTCCTCAGACTGATAGATCTGTTAAGAGCTGGCACTTACGCAGAAATCAAATCAGCCTTCATCAGGCAAGGCCTCTACCAGGAACCTTGACATTGAATTTGATCACTCATTTAGGGCTATTCTTACCCATTTTCCAGGACGATTTTCACCCCTTTTGGAGGGTAGTTTGGAACTTAGAAGACTGTGTAATTTATTTATTAAACTTTCCAAATCCTACTCATAGACCTTGCATGATAATAAAAAATAATGAAAGAGTACCTTGAAAAATAAAAATGTTCTTCATTTGGGAATAAATTGACAAATCATACAACTCTGTGAACTTTGAAAAATAAGATTGCTGTTCTTATATTGTCTTATAATAAACAAAAATACAATTCTTTTAAATTAATGGAATTTACCAATATTTCTTGTTATAGAGTTGAGACTAATTGATGTTAATGAATAAATGGAATGAACCAGTATTGATGTGAATGAATGAATGGAATGAATTTCTGAAGCATTAATGGGCAATATGAACCACTTGGGAATGCTGTTAAAAGGCAAATTTGATTCCATAGATCTGGGGTATGGCCTGAGAGTCTGCATTTCTAATAATGGTACTATTACTTCTCTGACCACCCTTTGAGTATAAAGGAACCAGTGACTCAGTAACTCAACTCAAAGTAAATCAAAACTAGCTATGTATCAATTTGTTCTATCAACACTTTGCTTATTTTGATGCTATGTGATGTCTTAGCATTATATTTGAACATTTCTCCTTTCATCAGTTGCTTCACAAATCTTACTTCTTCTTTTACACACCCTCACATCAAAACCCCACAACATGAAATGATTCCAAACCAAACTTGTTGCCATTGAGTAAATTTCAACTCATGTTATTGTTGTTAGGTACAATAAAGTCACCTCCAACTCACAGAGACCTTATGTACAACAGAATTAAACAATCCTTGCTATGCTTGATTCCCCATCACTGCAGCCACTGTATCAATCCATCTCATGGAGGTTCTTCCTCTTTTTCACTAACCCTCTGCTTTACCAAGCATGATATCTTTCTCCAGGGAATGGTCTTTTCTGACAACATGACCAAAGCAAGTGAGACAAAGTCTGGCCATTCTCACTTTTAAGGAGCATTCCAGCTATAAATTGGGATTGAGTTGATGGCAGTGAAGTTT